ACGCACCAGATTTGTACTCCACAAGGCCGTGCTGTAGTGGCCCCCGCCCCCAGCACATGGACTCCATACATCCATCCATCATCCATGCATTCATACCATCCAAGGCTGTTAAGGGGCCTGGGGTCCCCCCAGGCAGAAAACGGCATGGAAATCTTCTGGATGCTCTCACAAGGCACGCAAACACAATGGGCAATTTCGAGACACCTTCTTTTCCTTAACTACATATTTTTAAGCCACGTGGGTTAACTGGTCTGCCCAGAGGAAACCCACACAACATCCAGCAGACTCCTCATGCACACACACACACACACACACAGGTTTGTAATTATATGCTCGTGGGGACTCTCCATTCTTTTCCATGGGGAAAACTCTAATCCCAACATGACAACCATAACCCCTACCCAGCCCTAACCTTAACCATAAGGAACCAAACTAAATTCGAGACTTTTGGCATTTTTACTTTTTTGATTGCAGTCACAGATCTTTGTGAGGACCTGAAAAATGGTCCCACAACGTCAAAAAAAAAAAGGGTTTTTATCACATTGTGGGGGACACTTGTTCCCCACAATGTAATATAAACCTAATCCACACACACACACACACACACACACACACACAGACAGACCAGGGGTGGCTGGAAGCTGGGTTGGACTGGGATTAAAAATCAGCTCCGGGCTTTAGAGTCCCCTGTGACCCTGCGGTAAATTTTGCCAAGCAGGGCTGGGGGGTCCTCTATGATGTGTTTTGCCGAGTGGAGGGGTTCCCATGTTAAATTTTTAATGAATGGTACATCTTGGAGGGTCCTCGTGTTAAACTGGCCGACCCATATGTCATATAGCCGGCCCAGTCCTGCCTAGGTGAGGGTGCTGCCCGCGGAGCTAGTGCTCCATTTATGTTTCTATATATCAGAGATCAGTTCCTCTGTACTCCACCATACTCTGCCTATATTACCCTTTTGTACCTGCCTCACACTTTATTCCACCCTGTACTATCCATCCATTCCCTCCATCCATGTGTCGTCTCTCGATTGTTTCCTCTGAGGAGGGTGTTGTGTGGTCTGGAGCCCCCCCCCCCCAGGCAACACAGCGCAGAACACCTGGTTAGACCCTGGGCTGGATGCCAGTCCATCCTGTACCATGAAATACTAACATAATACTAAGCTATGCTCCAGACATATAGTCTGCTTTATAAGACCAGTTTTTGTTCAATGAGTAAATTTACTGAAACCCAGCTACTGAGCCCATAGCAAAACAAACTCTGGCTTCCAATCATCTTGGCCAGTATAAACTTCAGTGTACTGAGGTCATAGTAACAAGCAGACCCTCACAAAGACAATACTCTATTCTTCATTTATTTTTACTTAGAACAACAAGATGCTTTTTTTTTCTCTCAAGGCTCACATAAACACTGTGATTAATCCTGTGTTAACTAAAGAAATCTGTTTATGGACACCAACACTTTAACGTAATCTTTAAAGGACGAAGAGTCATGTGAATGGGCCGTTTTGCGATTTGGCGTATTGGAATCCCTCCCCCGCTCGGCAGACAGAAGGGAATTGTGTGACGGTCTTGGCAGTGTCCCGCCCCGAGCCTGTACAAACACAGAAACGGCAGCTACAGCTTTTTGTTTTGTGGGCGCCGGGGTATGAGTGTGTGGCTGAACTTTTCTTGGCATGTGAACGGCATTGCAATACGCATCTTAACAGCCTTTTGAGGGATGTTGCAACGTGGAGGTTAACCAGGGTGACCCCCCCCCCCCAGGCTTGCCAGAGGGTTAGAGGCTTGACTGACTCGAACAAGGCAGCAACTCTGGTGTTTTGACTACTTCCTGTTTCCCTCCTCTTTCAGAGAGGATTTACTGCAGCTTGGCTAACGGCCTCAGTGTAAAACATCAGCTATGTTCCTTATGATTATTAATGTTTATCACCCCGCCCCAACCCTGCTTCAGATTGATGAATTAAGTCTGGGTTTGTGTTAATGTGTCGCATATTTCAGAAAGCATCCCATGGTGCAACTGTTTACTCAGTGGGGTAACAGATTATCAAGGTTTTTTTTGAAATTGTGTTTTCTTTGGTTAATATCTGTCTCCCACAGTGTTGTGATTTGGATCTGTCTCTAATACTGCTCTAGGACTGTCAATTTGCCTCATCCTACTCTGGGACTGTCTGTCTTATATCGCTCTGGGGAAGTCTGTCTGTCTCATCCTGCTTTGGAATTGTCTATCTCACATTGCTCTGGGTTTGTTTCTCTCTCATGCTCCTCTGGGACAGTTTGTCATGCTGTTCTGGGACTGTCTGTCTGTCTCATACTGCTCTGAGACTGTCTGTCTCATACTACTCTAAGACTGTTTGTCTCTCCTAATCTGCTCTGGATGTGCTTGCCTCTCACACTGCTGTGAGACTGACTCTCTCTCTGTCCCTTGGACTGTGTTCCATAGTGCTCTGTTCTGGTATAGTGGCTGCCTCTGATTTTCTATCTACACTCTGCCTGTTAGTGTTTGCTTGCATCCATAGTTTAAATTCTCAGCACATGTATCATCACACTTCTGTCTGCCAGTCGACCTCACTGCACCTCGTTGCCCCTCTATTTCAGGACCCTCATCAGTGATCAGTAATGATGATGACTCTGCCAGCCCCCTCCATCATGTATCCAATGGCAGCAACACCCCCTCTTCGTCAGAGATGGGCCCCGACGCCGTCATCATCGGAATGACCAAGATTCCCGTCATCGAGAATCCGCAGTATTTCCGCACCTCCGGCAACCTGCTAAAGTCCGACACCTGTGAGTAACTGTACAGTAAGTCCTGCCTGTCCTGTGATTGTTGGGGGACTGAGCTATGAATGTGTCTCATGGGGAGAGAGCATAGTCCCTATGCAATGAGGGAGCCATTTAGTCCAGTGAGTAACGGGAGAGTTACACTAGCGATAAAAGAGTCACTTACATGTTAATACATCACATTACATTAGATTACATGAGTAGAATGATGGTGGAGTGTAGTATATACATGGGAGAACAACTTGTGAATAAAGGAAGAGCGACAAGTATGAAAATAAAGATAGAATAGACTAAAATATAAATTTTCAGCCCCTCTTTACAGTGAAACTTTGGATAGTGTTTCTATCTACAGCAATCTTATTTAAAACACAAAGTTATTTAGCTACAAAGTCCTCCTTTTGATTATGTTCCCAACGACCTAAAATACCTACCTGCAGCTCTGTAGAGGAGGAATTATCAGCATGCACTCTGTAGCTCTGATGTCCTCAATAGGAGCTGCACCAGGCATTATCTTAACAACGGAGGTTGTTGCCACGTGATAGTTGCTATGGTGACTTTCCTGCCACTGCCATGGTGATGACACAGGATGGCGGCTTTTCCTCTGAGTAAGACAGGACAACCTGATTTTTTTTCCCCATGTAGAGCTGCACATAGACAGGGTGTGTGGGGGGGGGGGTCTCCCCTTGACTCACTGTGGTCACTCTGTGGTCACCTCTCCAACTCCCCACCCCCTCTCAATAGCGGACGGCAGCACCTGCGCAAGAACGCAGGCCGTCTGCACGTCTGCAGGTGTGTTGCCTGCTCGTGGCAGAGCACAGTCTGCACCCTGGAGAAATGGCTCCGCTCTAATCCGCTGCTGCCCGCCAACATCCACCGAGCACCATCTGAAAGCAGAGTCTGTTGACAGCCAGGATTTTGGGTATGCTAATCTTCTGGGGGAGGATATGAGTCTTACTTACTGTACTCTCCCAGAAGGTCACCCAGAAATGTCTAGAACAGCACTGTAATTCCGGAAAGAGGAACAAACCGTCAGTGAACTGGAGAGCCACAATTTTTATAACAGACTGTATAGTGAATAAGAGCTGTTGGGACGCGGCATCTGCCCACGGTGTAAATGAGACTCTCACCCAGGTGTAAGTCAAGAGATTTATCAGGCTGATTAATGATGATTTTATAGATTATATTATAGCTCGACTGATTACAGTCTCTTACCTCGCCACTATGCAAGCACAATACCTACTACATGGCATCTAAATGAATTTTGGATGTTTCCTTCTAAATGCTTCATTTTCATTGACGACGGCTGCTGGTAATCTGGACAGACGTATGGTCTGATCTGGTTACAGAAATCAATGTGTCGCAGAAAGGGGACACTGTGCGAGGAGCTTATGAAGAACTTTGCCTAGGATGACAGCAGCTCCTAATGCCCATAAACTAATTAACCTGAAGACAAATTAAGATTCACGGAGATAGCCCAGCCAGGTTCTCGGATGTGGGGAGCCCTGGGCGATGAGCCGGCGGAGGAGTGGAGTGGAGGAAACGTGCGGCGGGTCTTATGGGGTTTTTTAAACGTGTGACATTGTGCCGTGGGTGTCAGGGACAGTTGGAATTGAATCCCAGCTGGGAGGGGGGGGATTTTGAGGCCCCAAGCACGGCGCTGTACCTTAAGCTGTCCCTGTAGAAATTTCACTGCACCCGGTGTCATTATAAAATTATCTAAATATCCAACATAGGCGTTTCATCTGAAGCTGCTATGAATTTCAGTTAAACAATTAGTGCGTAGGAGTGTAATCCAATAGCATCTTCACAAGGGCTCTTCTAACAGAAATAGTCCTTAAGCTAATAGTCTGTAAGTTATTGTAGGCAGAGTTCAAACACAACCACCACAGAGGCCGTGAGGATTAGACACGAGGTATCTCAACGGATGGATCGTCGCCGCTGGATAAGACCAGACTCGGATACTAGAGGGGGGCTAGTAGCTGCTATGGAAAGAAATGGCCATTTCTCTGACACATTTCCCAGGGGTAAATAAAAAAAAAATAATCATGATCAATGCAATGTTTCAGGGAAGAGGCATCTTCTGCGTTCAGCTGGCGGACAGACATCAGCATCGTCCATCATTGTTGTGTCCGTCGAGAAAAGCACCGGTATACTTTTTTTCCAGAAGGAATCCCCCTAACCCTGCAGCTTCAGGGGAATGGGCTTACTCCCTGTCCCTTCTCGATTTGCCCATTAATGCACCGGAAGAGGAGCGTGCGAGGGGACAGCTCTTGAACAGCGGGGCAGGAGGAGGGCAGATTTCAGCGTTGCAGGGGAAGGCATGTTTGGAACTTGGCCGACTGCAGCTCTGCGGAGAATGGCTTGTCAGGACAAAAATCTGCGGCTGGCTGCTGTGTCGCAGCGAAAAGCACGGAACAGACCACAGCATGGCAGCTTCAGGAGGACGGAAACTGCTCCACTGACCGGATCGGCCACTCGCTACCCACTCCGGAAAATGGGGGCTTCGGGAAAACAGGTGTTCCCCGAATTTATTATCCTCTGTCTATGTGTGGTTTTAATCAGGGCTGAGTAATGATGGATTAGGGGTGCAAATGGAATGGAAATGGGAAAGCATCTGTGACTCCCCAGGACAGGGACTGGAGACCCTTACAGCAGAATGGCGGCCAGGCGGCCCGAGTCACCCGAGATGGTGTCACTGACAACGTGCCCAATCGGGGCCCCCTTCCTCCCCACGCCCGGAAAAAGGCGCCGCTTCCTGGCTGGCGCTGTGAGACAGACTGCTGGCACGTTGGACTGCGCTTTCAGAAGTATGGAGGGAAAACCGGCAGAGTCAATGCAGAAAAATCAAGGAATGCTGGAGTGAGAGTTGTGTGGGCATTGGTGTGTCATCCATTCACCCATCCATCCATTTGCAATAACAGCTTATCCAATGCAGCGTCACACTGAGCCTGGTATCGATGCCAACACACAGGTCACCTGACACAGGACAGCCGGGACGGGGTGGATTATCATGTCTGACATTTAGAAAGACTATGGAGGCGTCCAAGACGTACTTGATCTTTCCTTAATATTGGCAGTATTTTTGTTGGATTCCGTGTTATAGCTGTTTGTAACTCCACCGAGGGGTACAGTGGTACAGTTCAGGGTAGCACAATACTGCCCTCTCACAAGACATGAAAAAACAGGATTGATCTCAGTCTCTTTTAAGGTTTCCGTCATGGACCTCTCTAAATTTCAAATTCTCATTCTCACTGCCCATGATTTGCCATGAGCCTGCTGGGTTGAAGGATAAGGTAAATAAATTAAAGAAGATACTCTGCTTGCTCTGATCTGGGTTCAGTACCTGTCAGCAGCAGTACCCCAGTGATGGATCCATCTGAGAATCGGCCTTCTCTCGCTTTTGCCGTCGCCAGAGCGCACACCCGTTTGCAGCTCTCTGTCTGTAATTAGACGATCTGTTCTGTCAGTGAATGATCGTGTCAGGTTGCCATGGAGACAAGCTCTAGGTGTAGAGTTTATAACCAAAAAGCCAAATCGCCATTCCAGAATCAGAGTTGGGTGCTGGACATGAGTAAATCAGGTGCAAACAGAGTACTGGGGAAATCCAGAATCGTAAAACTGAATCTGAAATCAAACCAATGCTTGAAGTTTAACTCAAGAAGAGAGATGAGATTTCACGCTAAGGTTAGACTCTCCAGGGTTTGAGTATGTGATTGATAATAAGCCACAGGTGCACACCGTCAGGAACCAGAATAGTCCACTTACAGTTTTTGCGAGGGGGATTGCTGGCAAGAATTTGAGGACGGACACAAGTCTTTGAGGACAGGGTGTGACACAAGTCTTGGGTGCCCAGGGCATTAAAAGCCCCTGTGACACTGTGATATTTGAAAAACAAATCAGCCGTTTCTGTGTGGCTGAAAGGTGATGCAGTGGAAACTGACAAATCGTTTGAAGCATGACATTCTACAGCCATCAGACAGATCAGCCAGACAATGCTCACTTTCTTGTGTCTAATAGTTTAATCTGTTTTACTTAAAAAATATGTGTTGAGAAGGGGTATATAATATAATAATCCCGTTCAGGTTTTCTTTTATTAACCAAATATAATTACAGATTTATCCCTCAGTGCAGATCGAATGGAAAATGTCTTTGTGTCGTTTCTTCTCCACTTTGTTTTTTTGGCACATTGGAGTTGCTTATTCCCGCCAGGGATGTGGCGTTCCACACTCGTCTGTCCATCACCGCCTTTTTTTCCATAACTGCTGACCCAGCGTAAGGTCATGGTGTCCGTGGAATTCCAGGACGACGGAATTCCCAGGCACTGTTTCCGAAATGCTCCCTTAAGAATGTCGAGTCACGCGGCCATCCACCCCTAGCGATTGGCTATCCGCTTCCCGAGTGGAACCAGGACCTGGAACGCCGCTGAGGGAATGTCCGGCAAAGTCCGGCTGCGCTCACGGTGGGGGTGAAGGAGGAGGGTGCTGGCAAAGATACTAACCACCCAGGGAAAACCCCGGTGGTGATGTAAAGGTCTGTTTATCGACCCTCGGAGTATCACAACGGGGACAGAGCCGACCCCTGCTTCTGTAATTACCCACGACTGCGGGGGACAGGCGCGCACTGAGCGCCACGCGTTAAGCGCTCAGGTTCAGTGCGTTCAGCCTCGCTGCGAGGCTGCTGCGTGCCACAGGCTGGTTATCGCAGGCAGCGAAGCAGTTTGAGCCTCAGTGGTGCAGCCCGCACTGCCTCCACCCCCTGGATCAATGCAACTTCGGACAGTCTGGTAATACAATAGGCTGAGCAGTAGCTGTCTTCCAGTGCATTTTCTAATCACACCAGAAATACATGCAAGCTTTTTTTCTGCTTGTCAGGGTGTTTGTTTCTGAAGACAGCAATTCACAAACGCTCACACCGCATCCCTGTCATTCCGCTGGGAAGCCTGATGGTGAGCGAGGAGGTTGTGACTCTCGCCGCTCTGTCACCATAAGAGCCGCATCTCGGCCTCCTGTGTGCTGCGGTGTCACCAGGGTCTGTTTTATGCTTATCCCGTGACCCCTGATTGATTCTGGTGTTCGCAGAATGTCCTGTTGTCAACTACTTAGTACTGACTCCTGGAGCAGAGGGGTGGGCAGGACTGAGACAAGCCACGGAGAGAAGCCCCCCCTCGCATTTCAGAACTGTGAGGCTTTTTTTTTTTCAACCATCACCATGGTTACTCCAGCCACAGATGGTGAATCAGACCTGGAGATTGCAGAACTGTCCGGAAAATGAAAGTGATTTTTATTTATCAGGGTACTGTATGATCAGTGGTCTGTGCAGCACAATGTGACAGGAGCCACTTAGTCAGTAAATGCATTCATTTGGGCGGAGGGTAAGAAGTAGTCAGACTGTATCTTGAGAGCGGTTGTCTTGGCAACACTGCGAAGCAGTGGTCACCAGAAGCGGAGAATGTGACTTATGTGACGGCAGCCATTGCCAAATCCCATTGGAGCTGAGTCTGTGTTTATCCCTGGATTCCAAAGCAACGCTAAAACCTCCCAGTGTTTTTAAAAGAAAAAATGGTAGCTTTCTGTCTCCTAAAACAATTAAAACAAAATACAGTTTCCATTCATCTTTCAGTAATCAGGCAGAATTCTGAAAGCAGTCGATAGTGAAAGTGTTGAGTTGGTGAAATGGAAAGAGAGATGTGGAGATTTCGTTTGTCTTTCTGTTTACCTGTGTGTTGATGGATTGGGGGTCTGTTGATTTCCTTACTTTGCATGTGCTTCACAGTGTTCATGATTGGAGGCAGCCTGTGTGAGCAATGCTATTCCCAGGCCTGAAGGGCTTCAAAAACCGCATTTGAATGAGAATAAATCTATCCTTCTTGGTCCCTGAAGCCTGGCTCAGCAGTGAGGATGCCTTGAATTTTCGTTGTGGCTGTTCTCATGTTCACATATGAAATCATGCTTCCCATGCAGGACAGCACTCACTGTAGCCGTTGGTCATGCCGCCCTGGCAGCCAAGTCCAGGTACTGGCTTGTAAACACATCTGAGGACGCGAGGATGCCGTCAGACACCTGGCCAGCCTCCCCCAGTATTCAGATCGAAACATCGTTACACCTTTAAGGGAGCTTCAGGAGCACAGAGTCCGCGGTAGATTTCCACGTCCTTCATCCTCGCAAAGACCTGGATGTTTTTCTTCTTCAGGAATTACCTAATCACTCACAATACAGAGTTCAGGTCTTGATAGACAGCATTCCAATAAGGCTGGAAGCTGTTCTGGGGGCACAATGAGGCCCTAATCCTTATTAGGGTATTAATATTCGTGTATGCTTAGGTGTTTGGGTAATTGTCACCCTTTGTAGATGAATAAAGAGGACGTGTAGTTATAAATAGTTTTGGCTGAAGGCTGGGACACTGAGTCTCCCCATGAATTGCTGATTGTCCACAGGTGCTGGTGACTATGACTTGGTACCATGAAGCCCTTTATGCTGCTAATTGGTTTTTCCTGGTGTTCTGTCACTCCAAACGCCATGTGAATAACTTTGCTGTTCCTGCCAAGTCCATTTTTGGTTCTGGTGTCACTAGTTATGTGTGTGTGCGTGTCTGTGTGTATTTTTTTGTTAGCCAAGCAGCAGGCAAATGGATCATATGTCTGCTTTAGTCTGTCCTTTTTTGCCTGTATATAAATATATTGTGCCGCTCGGCAGACCCAGGCATCGCGGCAGAAGGAACGAGAGGAGACGCGCTCTTTAGCTACAGTCCTTAAAAGGACTAAACATAAGGACCAACCGTTACTCCATCACACATAATGGGGAAACACAGGGAGGTCTGACACTGGCCGGTAAGGCACACACATGGTGGATAGTTGCGCAATACAAAGAGACACAAGGACTAGGCAAAGATCATACTTGAACACAGGTTAGGGCACATGCGACAGTAGGGTACACAGCACGGCTATTTACATTATGTGGACAAGGGCTATTTACAAATAGCGTGGTGCATGCTGGGAGATGCTAGTGACCTCTGCTCTGTGGAGCCATCTCGCCGGTAGTACAATATATTCTCTTCTCACTGAGTAGTGTTTTTCCCACACACCTTGTGGGTTGGATTTCGGCAGCTGGTTTGTTCAATGCAGTTTGATTGCTTTTCTATGAGTTTCTAAGGGTGTCCTCTCACATGTCAAGGACCTTAGTGTTCTCTGAATTGTCCATATTGTGACCCTTTAGGGTTGCCCAGTCACTGTGTCCCTTGCCTCCCGTCCCTTGCCTACTGGGACAGGCCAAAAAAATCTCAGAAGCAGTTCTAGGAAAATGATGGATATTTCCTATAATTCCACCATATGATGAATGTAACTGTAAAATGAGCACTGTGGATGTACACTGTTACTGTTGGGAGTTTTCCCTTTGTGTGTAAGAGGAGCTGTGTCTTTCTCCCCCTCTCACAGTTGTCCAGCATATAAAACGGCACAACATTGTCCTGAAGCGGGAGCTGGGGGAGGGGGCCTTCGGGAAGGTCTTCCTGGCAGAGTGCTACAACTTGTCTCTGGACCAGGACAAGATCTTGGTGGCTGTCAAGGTATCTATCTCTGCAC